CCCAATTTATTGAAAACATAATTGAAAAGGGGGTGCAGAGGGAATCTGATAATGTTCAGCTAATGAAGGGAAAACGGAACTTCATCAGGAAGGAGCCCTGCCCCAGTCCTAACGTTTACTTCTTCAGGGCATTCTCTAATTTGTATGTCATCAGGAAGATGAAGTTTAATACGAAGGATATCAAGGTCAATAGGCATGATAAAAAATTTAAAAAAAAATTTAAAAAAAAAATAAAAAAAAAGAGCGAAAACCCTAAGAAGGAGTAAAAGTTTTTGCTTTTAACAAAATTGAAGAAAAAGGGAAACAGAACTGACCTCAAGGAGATTGAAGGATTCAAAGGATGCTTCAAGAAGATGAAAGATGAGTAGCCTTTGCAGAAACTCGCCGGAGAAGATTTAACTTGCCTTACAATAGAGACGAACAATGGTTTGATTAACAGAGATAGATGGTAGAGACAGTAAAAGAAATTGAAAGTACATCTCTGAAGGTTATAACGGCAAAGTGGTCCCGAAGACCGAGGCGTCAGGAAAACGAGGAGATTTCGAATTTCAAGGCATTGGTTCCAAATCCAACCGTTCATTTTTCCATGAGATCTTCTTGAGCCGTCAAATCATGATTAGCAGTCGTCAATAATTACTCCCAAATTTATTAAGGAGTAATTATGGGGGCAATTGATGATGCCAAAGGTGATATGGGCCGGGCACGATCCAGATATGACCCGCGAAAGGAACATTGGATCAAGTAGCTGGTTTCAACCCACGAAGAGGCATTGCAGAATGGGCCAAGCCTTTGAGATCTTTCCAACAAAGTCAGGCCCATTGAGTGGGAAGCCCAAAGCGGGGAGCCCAGCATAAAAAATTAGTTGTGACATCCCAATAATGCTTGTAATTGCCTATAAGTAGAAAAGAGTGGTGAAGAAAAAAGGAGGGATAATGATTGAAGTGTAATGGAACTCTGTCAAAATAGGAAGAGAATTTTATTTGCATCTTCAAGTATCAATGCTGTCAAAGTAGAAGCAGGTTATGTTTGGTACCGTACATCTCCTATTAAAATGTGTATCCATCTACCAATCATAAATTGGCACATTATTCAATCATGAGGTGGATTAACATCTCAATTATTAACCCAAAAATAAATAAATAATTCCAAAAATTCTCCTGACCTAAGATATCCCCCACTCATAAAACTTACTAAACACATCTTTTCGCGAGCAAACATGAAAGACAAAAAAATACATATATAGAAGCACATTACAAAGATGGTCAAGATAAAACATTTCTTGATTTGTAAGGCTTTAGTTAAATAGCATGGAGATTTGATTGAGACAAGAGATTTCTCTTTCAGAGTATCAATGAATGAATGAAAATTTTCTTTTTGCTTATTAGGATGGTTTAATATATATATATATATTATTTATGTTGTTATTAAAATACTGTCCCTGACATAATTTCTTGGATCCGTCACTGTGCATAGTAACAATAATATCAACCAAAATACTCCAAGTGGACAGTAAAACCCTGAGATTCCAAAGCAAAGCAGCATCAACAATAAATTATAAACACATCTATCCAAATATTCATATAAACCATGCTTCAAAAATATATCTATCCCAAGATAAACCGAGTTTGGGCAAGAGACATACCCACCGGTGTGTATAAATTTAATATTCATATAAACCTATATTCATTGTTGATAAGATTGATGCATCTGGTTTTCTACACTGCAGAAATGCCTTCGCACACTAGCAACCTGGGAGATGCAGCATGTTAACTGTGTCCTTGAAACTAGAAATTATGACTCAGAAGATAATAATACCATCAAACTTGAAGTTATGTGGGTTCCACTATCAATTAAATGAGCGTATCGAAGCAAACAAGGTCTAGCACTCGAGAACACCATCAAAAACACATCACATCAAAGATATTATTAAATCAAATAACGGGCGTAAAACATGTGTATGACATAACAAAAGGGAGAGAGAAAAAAGGAAGCATGGGAAAAAAATAAAACCCTTATATTGCATGTATCAAAGAAGACATTTAGCTGATTAATCATTACTTTCATCAAATGAGTCATATTTTTTTTAGCTCAAATTAGAAGACAAGGCATAATGGGATGACCAGTTCTAGAAGTGGGCTTCACACTGACATGAAAACTAATTGATTTGTATTTGTGTAAATGAGATGGTTGAATTATATTATCAAACAGATTTTTAAAAAGCCAACAGAAAATATTAAACAGATCATCACAATAGAAAAGAACCTGGGTTGACAGATCATTAAATGTTACTTCCAGGATAAGTAGGCAAAAACCAACCATGCTTGACTACCTGCCCCATGATTTTTATTTATTTATTTATTTGTTTCATGAGTTTAAAATAATTATCTGATTCTATTTCTCCAAATAGAAGAGAACGAACTTTGTACTCCAAAGAGAACATAACAAATTTAAGACTATAACTTTACATGGGCTATTTATAACAGCCCTATTATTTTCTGGTTGACTACAATTTCCAGATTTGTTTTGCACTTCTTATATAAGCTAGATCTCCTCTAAAGTTTTTCCTTCCAATAGGATATATGAGTAAAGTAAAAACTAGAGCTACAAATAGAGAAGGCAAAAGAAATGGCTGAATCTTAAACATGTTAATAAGTGGCCTGAAGGCCATACATTGTCTTATAGCCTCATACCATCAAGTCAAAGGTAGAACAGAATAATGAGGGGTGAACAGCACTGCTCTTGGAATATCATTTAAGTTCATTAATTTACTATCATGTCAGATATCTAGATGATAGTCTTTTCACCAATTAGAGGTACAAATCCTACAATACAGTGGCACATGGCCCATAAGTAGGGGTCAAACAAGTGACCAAGTCATGAACAGCTCAGGAAAATATCATATTTTCACGATAAACAATTTCATGCAGCACAGGCAGATCCAACAGTCTCTAAACAGAAAATTAATGCAAATTAGATTTCATTTTCTGCTTGGTTGATATCACAGTTTTGCTCCATAACTATAGAGCATCCGAATAGAACCTACTAGCTCACAAAATATGTTTTAAGCAGAGTTGAGGTGTTTAATAAAACAACACCAAAAAAAAAAGAGGGAAATGAAAAAAAAGGCTCTGAATTCTTCTTTCGATCAATGTTATCTAACCTGAGCCACAATTCATGACTCTCAATAGTTCCCATGAATTTTTACATTGTAAACCATGCTTCATAAACATAAAAAAAAATTTCCACGTATAGATGAATAAAAGACTGCAAGCAAGATACAAAACAAACAAGCTATAGGATTTCATGAATCAACAATAGATAAGATTGATGCATATGGTTTTCTACACTGTAGGAATGCCTTCGCACACTAGCAAACTGGGAGATGCAGCATGTTAACCATGTCCTTGAAACTAGAAATTCTAAATCTAGATATTAATACCATCAAACTTTAAGTCACGCGGGTTCCACTATCAATTAAATGAGGGTATCAAAGCAAACAAGGTCTAGCACTTGAGAATAGCATCAAGAAACACTGACACATCAAAGATATTATTACCTCAAATAACAGGGCATAAAACAAGTGTATGACATAACAAAAGGGAGAATGAAAAAAGGAAGCATGAAAAAGAAAAAAAAAAGCCCTTATATTGCATAAATCAATGAAAATATTTAGCTGATTAATTAATGTTTTCATTAAATGCTTCCTATTTTTTGAGTTCAAATTAGAAGACAGAGCATAGAGATATGAGCAGTTCGAGAAGTGGGCTTCATACTGTCATGAAAAATAATTGATTTTTATATGTGTCAATGAGATGGTTGAATTATATTATCAAACAGATTTTTGAAAGGTCAACAGAAAATATTAAACAAATCATCACAATAGAAAAGAACCTGGGCTGGCAGATCATTAAATGTTACTTCCTGGGCAAGAAGGCAAAAACCAACCAAGCATGACTACCTGCCCCAAGATTTTTTTTTTTTTTTTTCTTCCATGAACTTAAATTAATCATCTGACTCTTTCTCCAAATAGAAGAGAACCAACTTAGTACTCCAAAGAGAACAGAACAAATTTAAGACCGTGACTGTACATGGGCTATTATAACAGCCGGATTATTTTCTGGTTAACTAGAATTTCCAGATTTGTTTTGCACTTCTTATATGAGCTAGATCTCCTCTAAAGTTTTTCCTTCCAATAGGATATAAGAGTAAAGTAAAAACTAGAGCTACAAATGTTGAAGGCCAAAGAAAAGGCTGAAACTTAAACATGGTAATAAGTGGCCTGAAGGCCATACATGTCTTGTAGTCTCATACCATCAAGTCAAAGGTAGAACAGAATAATGAGGGGTGAACATCACCGCTCTTGGAATATCATTCAAGTTCATTAATTTACTATCATGTCAGATATCTTTAGTCTTTTCACCGATTAGAGGTACAAATCCTACGATACAGTGGCACATGGCCCATAAGTAGGGGTCAAACAAGTGACCAAGTCATGAACAGGTCAGGCTTAACTATATAAGAGATCTATCTATGTTAGTTAGCAAGTACACCAGCATAATTTAATCAACAGTTTTAACCTCATTAAGTAAGTGAGCCAAACTTGAATAAACCTTGCTGGACTCATTAAATTCATGAACAACATAAAATAGATAATCACAAGCAGACTCGTTACGACTAGCGAACATGGCTCATTTATTGAGCTCAAGGTTGTACTCAAGATTGGCTAGCAAACAAAACAAGCCCACCTTAACTTTGGCTAGTATTATCCAAGCCAAAAGGAAAACTAGCTACGATATCCTACAAAATATCACCAACACTAGACTTCTAAATGCTTGGCACGGCAACTCGACCTAAAAAAGCTGCTCTTGACAATTTAATTCATATAACATAATGTGGCTCATACAAAAGCTGCTCTTGACAATTTAATTCATATAATATAATGTGGCTCATACTCCAAAACAAATACAATGGCATCAAAAGATAAGCAATAATGGATAACAAATACTTTCAGCACAACTTCTAAAGCCATATCAATCCCAAATGCTCCAAGTGTTCAAAATCATCATAAGTGAGTTAATTTGTTTCCCAAAGAAGGTTCACATCAAGCCCAAATGCTCCAATACTTCAAAATCATCATAATTCTTAAGTTACTTGAACATTGCCCAAAGTAAGTTTTTAACCATATCAGTATACAATTTTTGTACCGCAGGCCAAGTAAAAGTAACAAAAAACAGGGAAAGAATTCACTTTGACACTTCTACTCAAACAACAGTTCCACACCTTCTCTAGCTTCTTCATTTGATTTTGCACCCTGATCAGAGCCCTGAAAGAACATTCATTACCCGCCAGGCACAAAATGCAATCAAGATCAATAATAATTGTAACTCCTCAAAGATGAAGTGATAATGTTATACACTTGAAAGAGTAATTGAAAAAAAATTAAATAAGTTTATGATACCTACAGGGCAATGATACTACTCAAATGCTAGGTTGAGCTTTTACATTCACATGTAGCAATAACATGACTTAACAATAGAAATAGCAAATATTAGATGTAAATGTTCTTACCTGTTCTTTCCCTTTCTTCTTTGTTTTTCCTCTCCTTTTCCTGGATTTCTTAGCTCCACTCACTTTTCCATGCAAAACAGGTGATTCCTTACAAGTGACTGTATCATGAAATATTACTCCAAATAAAACTAGGCTCTCAGTATAAGCATCTGAGTACAATGAGTCCCTATACCATGAATCGGTAGATCCATGAATATGAAGAGGCACTGCTCGGTTGGCTTCCGGATCATAAGCTACCAGATACCCAGCTTTTGTCCCAAATAGAACTTCGCCCTTCCTTGTAAAGCCAGTTACACTTTTGAATAATCCTTCACTCATATCAATATTGAATTGTTTAGTCCAAGACTCAGATATGCCATACTCCTTCATCACCCATATGCAACAAGTAACTTGGATGCCAATAAGCTGGATATGGATCAGAGAGAGTGATTCTTGAACCTTAGCAATATGAACACCTAGCATCCAGTTAGCATCTTCCATGCTATCGGGCACCATGATCTCGCCAAATACCTTATCACCCATGTGGAATGACACAATCAAGTAGAAGAAATTACTCCTCCTTTCCGTATCGTAAGCAATCCAATGTGCAGCACCGTTCACATAAGCCTGGGAAGCCCGCTCCAAGATGGTGTAAGGAAGACCCAAATGGCTGATGTTCCGCCATGTGCCTGTGCTCACACTGAAAATGTCAACCTCAGGAGGAGCTTCAAACCCATCCGGTCCGTGCAGATACACAATCCTCACAACCTTGTAATCATCAGTCAGTGAATCGAAGCCGAATCCGATGCTATGCATAAAAGGACCGTGTGATTGATAGGTGACACGCAATGGCGGAAGAGTCATCGTCTTCTGAATGGATGGATTCCATAGATAAAGCTTGTCCATGTAAGTAATCAAATCATCGGAAAGGCATAAGACCCCATTGCAGCAACCGATTACCCTCAAATAAGGGTTTCCTCCATCGTTCTTCAGTGGAAGGTCAAGCTCTGCATAATCACAGAACAACATTTCTTTTTCGCAGCGTAGTAGTGAGTAATGCTCTTCTTCATCGTCATCACTAGAGAATCTTCGAACTAGTAGAAGGTTGTTGTTGTTGTTGTGCGCAACAGATGATCGATTGAGGTGTGTGGTGATGAAACTAGGGTTTGTGAGCAAAGAGTACCATGATTTGCAGACACAAGCGCATCGGACGAGGGTTTTGATCGGTAGTCTGGCGAGGACGTCGATCAACACATCACGAGGTAGGAAATCCGACATTTTCTTCCAATTCGTAGCTTGAAAAAAAACTGAACAGAGATTAATTTGTTCAGAGTAAGCAAAGTGTATCTCTCTACTTTACTAAAACCCTAACCCTAACAAGGTTTTAGTGAACAATCAACCACCATACTTTGCATTCCGCCAATATGTCACTCAACTTGTGCTTGCAGATTTAATCAAACAGAAATCGTCTCCCAACACACTGTGTAATTTGCACTTTAATTATAAAAAATAAAAATAAAAAATGGTACTCCGTATCAAATAATTTTTTTTTTGTTAAACATCATGAAAAAATTTGAATTAAACATTTTTACTTAAATAACATGAAAATGGTCAAAAATGTTGAATATATTTTTAAAAGGAAAAAAAATTGTGAAATGAGAGGTGATAGTGGAACTAAGTGGTAACAATTAACAAACAAAGAATAGCGTCAGTTTGGTTTATCACTTAAAAAATAATTTTAAAGTTTTTAATTTAAAATTACCTTTTTTTTTTTTTTTGAACCAGTGACAAACCAAAATGGTAGATGTATGTATAAAAAAAATAATAATAAAAAATCAAAAGAAAAAAGGATTTTATATTTTGGTTGGTTAGTTTATGGGACATTGTAAATTGTGAAGGCACTAGTTTGCTCCATATTGGTCGAGTCAGATTGGTTCACATCTTCAACTGAAATACTCTCTTTATATATGTACAAATATTAATATGCTTATTTTATTTATTAATTTTTCAGTTCCAATCAAGTTGGTTTAACTCTTAGGCTCCGTAAAATATTTTTTTATTTTTACTTTGTTGGTATTTGACAAAGGTCTATGTCGAGATTGAAGTCGAGTCCATCAGGCTAGACATATAAAATATCTTACCAAAAATTTATGGATATCTTATTTTTATTAAATTTTAATTTTTTTTTTCTTTGTAAATATTTTACGATAACCAAATATTAAAAAATAAAAAATTATTTTTTAAAAAATATTTTACGTTCAAATAAACGAATCCTTAATCTGAAATATTATTATATCATCAGCAACATTGGCCTCTTGATATATGTTTGTGTGTGTGTGTGTGTATATATATATATACTTACTTTATTAATTAGTTTTTCAGTTTATGGGATGATTGCTTTAGGAAATGGTTCTACACATTTTTGAATTGTTTATGTTGCAGCTTTCGATCAATCAATTAAAAAATGTAACTGCTATTAGTTGAGAGAGAACTAGAGGAAAGAGAAACATGTAGAGAGAGAAAGAGAGGAGAGATAACCCATTTGGCCGCCATTGATGAAGCTTTCCAGCAGTAAATGGTCTTCGGCTCAAGGGAGTATGATTGGCCACAGGAAGATGATCGATGAAGAAAAATATAACAAAATTTGCGGGTATTATCGGAATTTTATACTCATGATATTTTATATATTTTATATCTTTTATAATAAATTAATAAGTTAAGACTAAATTAATAATTGTGCTCATCGGTCGTCAGTGACTGAAAAGTATTGTCAAGGGGACAATATGTAATATTTTCATAGTTAAGGTGCTGAATTGTTCTAAAAAATAGTTAAAAGGCACATTATATAACAATGGTATGATTTAGGAGAGTTTTTGTACCGCACCCCTAGATTTTCAACGACTTAATGTAATAATGGAATATATCGAATGGATAACTAAACAGCCGAGTAAAACTCAAAATACTATGAACCCCCAAATTAATATTTGGCTGTGGGGAGGGGGACCATATTAACTCAATCAGTGATTTGTCATCAGAATTCGGCGCCTCTCCTATCCATCCACCCATTAATTGAATCCGTACTATGTAGTCTGCGTGTTATCACTTGTTAAAGTGACACCAATGGGGTCACCAATTACTAGGTAATGGGATAAAGTTGACCTAAAATTTTAAGTGTGCAAAGTATAGCGTGTGGATACTTATTCATTTATTTAAAAGTTAAAATTATTGAATAGTGTTACGTACGTATTTATTTATATTTAATTATTTTTTCATTTGAATTCGATGTGAGACAAATGACTCTTGTAACATTCTCCCTCATTCGAACTCGCAACGCTATCGTTACGGTCAGGTCCCGTTGCCTACCCGGGGGTGGCTCACCCAGATACCTTTCGGGTCCGGCACTAGCCATGACACCAAATTAAGGACTAGATCTGGTTTTGATATCAACTATAACATGTGAACACTTGTTCATTTACTTAAAAGTTCGAACTATTGAGTAGTGTTGCATACCAACTTATTTATACCCAATCACTTTTTCATCTGGATCTAATGTGAAACAAAAAACCTTTGTAGCTGTGACTGACTCGATCATCAAATGTGGATGGTAGTATCTTACAATGCCCAATTCAGACTTAAAATTGGATAAATTTAGTTTTTGTCTCATTGAATTAATTTAAAAATATGGAGGCTTCGCAACTCTCTCCCCGCAGACCACTGACAACTAACCCTTCACATTTTTGCCATTGAAAAAAAAAAAAATTCAATTATGTATTCAATACAAAGAATTTTTTATTACTATTAATTTCCAAAATGGCTTTTGAAACGGCTGTTGTAATCTTTCCATGTGGGTTATCTTCTCCTTTTCTTTTCCCAATCAAATATAAATAGATATATTTATTACCGAAAATATATATATATATAACTAAAAATATAATATAATTGAAGTCCACCAATATGAGTTTTGGTGGTTAACCGTTACATTATAATTTAGAAAAAAATAGAAGATACAATTAGATTCCAACCCTTGATAATGGTAGAAACATTTTTTATAGATTCACTTTCATTTTTTCACATACTTAGAAAATCATATAACACCATCTTTGTAAATTGTATTGAAAGCTTAGAGCTTCAATGAGACCATCATCAATGTTAAATTAATCATCTTAGAGAATTAGTCTCTCCTCTCCTTTTGAAGGTAACATAATGAAATCCAAGCCTGTATCAACGTAACATAATGAAATACGTTGTCGTAGCCTTGACCTTTTTTTTTTTTTTTTTACTACGCAATAGTTTACTACATAATTCAATAAAAATAAGTAAAAAATGGTGAAGTGCAAACCCTTCCCTATCATATACAGAATGCTGAAGTGCACAGTAAAAATACGATCAGTAGAATACTCTTAAGTGCACAGTAAAAACCGGGAGATTCCAAAGCAAAGCAGCATCAACAATAGATCAACAATTTTTTTTTAAAATAAACACATCAATCTACCCCAAGATAAACCAAGTTTGCAAGTGACATACCTACTGGTGTGTATAAGGTAAATTTTCACATAAAAAGAAATATCACACAATTGTAAGTACACAATCACAACTATTCCACAACAACTTTGGGAAATATCAAATTTCTCAGGAGAAACAATTTCATGCAGCACAGACAAATCTAACAGTCTCTTGACAGAAAATTAATGCTAATTAGATTTTATTCTCTGCTTGGTTAATATCACAGTTTTGATCCATAACAATAGAGCATCCAAATGGAACTTTAACCAGCTAATTTGCTCAAAAAAAATATGTTTTAAGCAGAGTTGAGGTGGTATATAAAACGACACTGAAAAAAAAAATAGTGCTCTGAATTATTCTTTTGATCAATGTTATCTAACCTGAGCCACAATTCAATAGTTCCCATGAATTTTTACATTGTAAACCATGCTTCATAAACATAAAAAGAATATGCCATATTTAGATGAATAGAGTGCCAGAAAGAAGAGAAAACTAACTACAGGATTTCATGAATTAGATAAGACTGATGCATCTAGCTTTCTACACTGCAAGAATAAGTTCGCACGCTAGCAACCTGGGAGATGCAGCCTGTTAACCATGTCCTTGAAACCAGAAATTATGGCTCAAAATATATTAATACTATCAAACTTGAAGTCATGAGGGTTCCGCTATCAATTAAATGAGTGTATCGAAGTAAACAAGGTCTAGCAACTAAGAATAACCCTCAAGAAACACATCATATCAAATATATTATTAACTCAAATAACAGGGCATAAAACATGTCTTTGACCTAACGAAAGGGAAAAACAAAAACAAAAAAAAGCATGAAAAAAAAAAATTTATATTGCATCTATCAATGAAGATGTTTAGCTGATTAATACCGTTTTCATCACATGTGAGACATTTTTTGAGCTCAAATTAGGAGGAGCACAAAGGTATGAGTAGTTCTTGAAGTGAGCGTCACCTTGATTTTTATTTGGGTAAATGAGTTGGTTGAATTATATTATCAAACAGAATTTTAAGAAGCCAGCAGAGGATATTAAACAAATCATCACAATAGGAAAGAATCTGGCCAGGCGGATCATTAAATGTTACTTACTCGCTAAGTAGGCAAAAACCAACCAGATTTTTAACAGCCAGACTATTTTCTGGTTGACTAGAATTTCCAGATTTGTTTTGCACTTCTTATATGAGTTAGATCTCCGCTAAGGTTTTGCCTTGCAATAGGATATAAGAGTAAAGTAAAAACTAGAGCCACAAATAGAGAACGAAAAAAATTTGCTGAAACTTAAACATGGTAATAAGTTGTTTTATGCCATACACTGTGTTGTAGGCTCATCCCATAAAGTCAAAGGAAGAACAGAATAATGAGGGGTGAACAGCACTGCTCTTGGAATATCATTCAAGTCCATTAAATTACTATCATGTCAGATATCTGGATGACGGTCTTTTCACCAATTAGAGGTACAAATCCTACTATGTAGTGGCACATGACCCATAAGTATGGGTCAAAGTGTCAAACAAGTGACCAGTTCATGAACAGCTCAGCTTAACTACATAAGACATCTATCCGTGTTAGTTAACAAGTACACCAGCATAATTTAATCAGCATGTTCGACTTCATTAACTAAGCGAGCCAATCTTAAATAAACCTTGCTTGACTCATTAAACTCGCGAACAACATAAACGGATAATCACAGGCAGACTTAATAAGACTAGTGAACATGGCCAATTTATTGAGCTCAAGCTTGAACTCGAGATTGGATAGCAAGCAAAACAAGCCAACCTTGGCTATTATTATCCGAGCCAAAAGGAAAACTAGCTATGATTTCCTACAAAATATCACAAACCAGTGACTTCTAATCTAAATGATTGGCACGACATCCAGCAACTCAACTTAAAGAAGCAGCTCTTGCCAACATAATTCATATAATATAATGTGACTCATACCCCCAAACAAAATTTAGAAGATACAATGACATCAAAAGATAAGCAATAGTGTAAAACAAATACTTTTAGCACAACATCTAAAGCCATATCAAGCCCAAATGATCCAAGAGTTCAAAAGCATCATTAGTGAGTTAAATTTTTCCCACATGAAGTTCACATCAAGCCCAAATGTTCCAAGAGTTCAAAAGCATCACGAGCTAGTTAAATATTGCCCAGAAAAAGCTTTTTACCACATCAATATAGAATTTTTGAAACGTAGGCCAAGTAAAAGTAACAAAAAATACAGGGAAAGAGTTCACTATAACACTTCTACTTTTTCAACAGTTCTGCACCTTTTCTGCCTTCCTCAGTTTGATTTCCACCTGATCCACAGCCCTGAAAGAACATTCATTGCACACCAAGCACAAAAAGAAATCAAGATCAACAATAATAGTAACTCTTCAAAGATGAATTGATAATGTTATACACTTAAACTGTAATTGACAAAAAAATAAAAATAAAAATAAGTTTATGCTACGTAATAGGGCAACGATGACAGAATGGATAATTAAATGCTAGGTTGAGCAATAGCAAATAGCAAATATAAGATGTAAATGTAAGTAAAAGCATGCATCTTGCCTGTAGTTTCCCTTTCTTCTTTGCTTTTCCTCTCCTTTTCCTGGATTTCTTAGCTCCACTCGCTTCCCCGCGCAAAACAGGTGACTCCTTACAAGTGACTGTATCATGAAATTTTGCCCCAAGTAAAACTAGGCTCTCTGTATAAGCATCTGCATAAAATGAGTCGCCACGAATACAAAGATCAATCACTCGTTTGGCTGCCGGATCATAAGCTACCAGATCCTCAGCTTCTGTCCCAAATAGAATTCCACCATGCCTTGTAAAGCCAGCTACACGTTTGATTGATCCTCCAAAGCCAGCTACAAGTCTGAATGATCCTCTACTCATATCAATATTGAATAGTTTGGTCCAAGACTCTGAGATGCCATACTCCTTCATCACCCATATGCAACAAGTATAGTGCAAACCAGTACCCTGGAAGGCCTGGATATCGATCAGAGAGAGTGATTCTTGAAACTTAGCAACACGAACACCTAACACCGAATCTGCCTTAACCATGCTGGCAGGCAACATGATCTAGCCAAATACCTCATCACCCATGTGGAATGACACAATCAAGAAGAAGAAATCCCTCCTCCTTTCCCTATCATAAGCAAGCCAATGTGCAGCCCTGTTCAGATAAGCCTGGGGAGCCTTCTCTCTGATGGTATATTGAAGACCCAAATGGCTGATGTTCCTCCATGTGCCTGTGCTCAAACTGAAAACGTCAACCTCAGGAGGAACTTCAAAACTCCCACTGGTTCCGTTGAGAAGATGCACAATCCTGACCACTAGTGGCGTAGCCACATAGGGACAAGTGGGGGTAGTTGTCCCCACTGAATTTTTAATTTTTTTAATTTTTTTTTTTAATTTTATATATAAAGATTTTTATATTTCTATAATTGTTTGAAATTGCACATAATCTTTCCAAAAAAAGAATATAATTTTTTCAAAAAATATGATATTTTTTTCCACTTTCTTAAGATATTATATTCTTTCACACTTTTTTAAAAAATACAAGATATTCTTTCTAATTTTTTATCATTTAAATTTACTATTATTATGCCATGAACATTTTTAAAACTCAACTGCCTGCTTTTAGAATATAAAAACTATTCTGAAATATTTAGTACTGATTTAATATTTACATATATTATTTTGGTTCAACTAATATATATATATATATATATATATATATATATATATATATTATTGTTGTTAAAAATTGCCCTCACTGAAGAAAATTTCTGGCTACGCCACTGCATAAAAGGACCGTGTGATTGATAGGTAACACGTAGTGGATGAAGAGCCATCGTCTTCCGAATCGATGGATTCCATAGATGAAGCTCCTCCATGTAATTAAACACATCCTCTGAAAGGCATACGAGCCCATTGCAGCAACCAATTACCCTCAAATAAGGGTCTCTTTCGCTCTTCAGCGGAAGCTCAAGCTCTGCATAATCACAAAACATTTCGGTTTCACAACGGGCTTGCCAATAACGCATTAGCGAGTAACGCACTCTATCGCCATCATCACCAGAGCGGTTTTGAATCAGTAGAAGGTGGTTGTCGTTGTTGTTGGTTTTCGCAAGACATGATCGATTGAGGTGTGTGGTGATGAAACTAGGGCTTGTGAGCAAAGAGTACCATGATTTGCAGACACAAGTGCACTGGACGATGGTCTTGACCGGTAGTCTAGCGAGGACGTCGATTAACACATCGCTAGGTAGGAAGTCCGACATTTTCTTCCAAATCGTCGCTTGAAACAAGCAGAGATGAATGAACAAACAAAACCCTAACTTTTCAGAGCAAGAAATGTATTTATCTCTACTTTTCTAAAATCTTGCAGGATTTTATCATTTGCTTCGCGCTTTATATAGCCACGGCGCCCACAGATGGATTTGTACATTGGATATAGACAAGGATAAAGTGCAAAGAACTATGTTTAAATTTGTAAATAACCCCTTTAATTATAATTTGTGCATAAAATCCTCTAAATTATCTTATTTTATTATAACATACTTTAAAAATTATATTATATTTCATTAAATAACCATAATTTCCCTTCTTATTGAATTACATTTAATATATTTTTCTTATTTAAATAAATTATGAAAAAATTCATACTAATTTGATGAGATATTTTTTTATTAAATTTGCATAAATTTATCTTTAATTTTTTTAATGAATTATTTAAATAAAAAAATTAGTAGAAAGTTTTTTAAAAAATTAATTAATTTTTTAATTTTTAATGAATATATTACATGAAAATGAGGTATTTTTTCAAAAGTATTTTATTAATTTTTTATCAATATATTATATGAAAAATATGAATTTTTTTTACAATAAAAATGTTTAAATTGGTTATAATAAGTTTTATTATAAATAATAAAGTTTTGATAATAAGGTAATCAATTTAGAAAATGGTAGTTACAAATCTGTTTATCTATTTTTTTTCATTTTTATGATAAATTGATACAAAAAATAAAATTAAGGTAAATAGTATAATTAATATTTACATCTGAGACAAAATATTAAAAATAATTTAATAAGAAATGAAAATTTTAATAAAAAAGGGTAAAATAGTATTTTGTGATGGATTTGTCCTTAATTGTAACAAATCAATAGTTCATGGGAGACGGTTTTTAGTTCAGATGTTATTTGCAAAAGGGCAATAGTTTAGGGAGTTTTTTTGCACTTAACCCTATATATAATGATGAATTACACATACACCCCTGAAGTCACACTTGATTCCACACAATTGTATACTTTCCTACATAGCTACGCCAACAACCTTGAGTTATGACAATAACGGACGTTCACAAATTACAATCTTATCGATCAATATTTTAACCATATTATTTAAAAAAAAAAAAAAAAGTATTTAGATTAAATGACCAAAATAACCTCATTCATTAGTTAGTTTAAACACATGGATTAAAATCATCATATTCTAAAACCCTATATGATTAAGGGCAAATTACAGAAAACCCCCCTTGACTTATTGATATTTCCAGTAAACCCTCTCGTCTAATTTTTTACCAAAGAACCCTCCTCGACTTGTAACCCTTTCTAATAAATACCCCTTATCTAATTTTTTACTAAAGAACCTCCCTCAACAATCTAAGGGAATAAAAGAGTTAATATTTGGACCAAAATGCCCTTTTATTTAAATCTTAATTTTCTCGAATTTCAAAAATTCATATCTCACAAACCCTACTTCCAAATATTGCAAATAATATATACACAATTGTATACTTGCCTATACCAACACCTTCTTATAAGTAATGACAATAACGGACGTTAATGATACACCTGAAATTACAATCTTACCAATCAATATTTTAACCATATTATTAAAAAAAAAAATTAAAATATATAGGTTAAATGACCAAAATATCCTCCTGCATCAGTTGGATTAAACATTTGGATTAAAATCACCATATTCTTGAGCCTTATATGATTTAATTACATCAATTCTCTCGTTTTTCTCATAATAATGAGTAAAACCCAATATAGATCTCATTCTCTTTTCTTTCTACATCCTCTCAATCAGGGCAATTTCACCATCCGTTGATCCCTACTACAAAATTTGGCCTCCCAAGTGGTCTTTTGTTGAACTCCATCAAATTATACTCTCTCCTTTGATAGAAGCTCCATTTTTTTTTTTTTTTTCATAATTGGTGTTGGTATTATAAAAAAGATAAATCTTGATGTACATGAGTACAGAGGACATTCCCTCAGATTAAAAGGCAAAAATAAACTAAGTAATGGAGTAGGCCCATTTCCAATACAATAGAAAGAGTAAATAAATAAAACTAAAGAAGAATATCATGAAGAGAAGAGTTGTGAGCATCCAGAGTTTGTAGCATCTGCCTAGCCACTGCTTCTAGAGTGCCATGATTAATGCCATGAAGCCTTTTATTTCTGTCCTGCCAAATTCCCCATAAGGTAGCTGCAAATAAACTCTCGAGGGATTTTAAAGCATGGTATTGCTGATGAAACCAAGAGAAGAGACTAGTTAAGCTATTCACCGCAGCAAATGCACTCAAGTCCTATTAAAGAACCTCTCCAAACCAGGCGCATAGTCTCTAAGTGAAATCATAAGAGATAAAAAGGTGACCAGTGGTGTCAATAGCCCTATAGAATAGAGAACAACTGGGCATCAAGCTAACCTTCCTTCTTTGTAGGTTAATCCATCGAAATCATGCATTACAAAAACTACACTGATAAATCGTCTTGGTTTTGCCTTACCTAAAAATAGAGAAAACCAGTCCACCTCCACATCATTAAGTCTACAACAGTTCCAAGCCTTTTTAAAAGAAAAATTACCCCTATCCCGTAGTAATTTTTCCTCCCCTGCATGAATAAGGATTGTATTAAGAAAGTCTCTAAATTGGTGCAGGCGTGCAAATTGTAGTATCGTGAAATTCCATGAACCTCCGGCAAGTAGGCATTACAAAGTGGAGTGCAATGCTTATGAAATGGTAAATCCCGTCACACCATGGATCCAAAAAGGTAAAAATAGACCTGTCATTCCCAATCTGAAACTTGTTGTGGTAAAAAAAGGTATCTTTGATAGCAATTATAGATTTGCAAATGACAGAAAAAGTGACTTTGGGAATTACATTCCAAAAAGAAGTGTGAGGGTCATATTTATGCTTGAACAAAGACAACCACCGCCTATCTGTGCTGAGAAGATAATCCCAGGGCAAAACGTACTTTGCAGCCACCTGAATGTCAACCAATTTCCTCACTCTAAGACCCCCTTCAGCCTTTGGTCTAGTTATCAAATCCCACTTAATAAGATGCATCTTTTTATTATTATCTTTGCTAACCCACATGAAGTCTCTACACATTTGCTACCCCACATGATTTGCAAACACAAATGCACTGGATGAGGGTCTCAACCGGTAGTCTAGCGAGGACGTCGATCAACACATCGTGAGGTAGGAAGTCCGACATTTTCTTCCAAATCTGATAAGCGCCGAATATTACATATTCAAGTGCCCTTTCTTGCATTAGTTAAGTCCATTATTAGAGGATAATGTACAATTTTAATTCAGTTGTGTATTTCTTTCCGATTTCAGGTATTTTTCCCAAGAATGATCAAAGAAGCGGTTTTGACAACTTTTCGTTGAATTACGTACGTCGTGTCGGGGAGTCATCTTTTGGACCTGACTTCTTCTGTTGCCGTTTTATGAAGTCATGACTAAGTGTTCGTCGTGGAAGTGCGTCCACGGTCCGGCGTGAAGAAGGCTTACAAGAAGCCTTGTTAATGTAGCAGAGGCAAGCTCCCGCAGGCGCCCGCTGAACCCCTCATCTCTCTGCCCCATTTCGCGGGGCCTTGCTGAGCCCCCGCGCGCCACCGCGGGCGCCAGCCAAACACTTCAGTCCCCCGCAAGCCACCGCGGACACCCGTCGACCTGTTGTAGGCAGCTCAACTGCCCCTGAATTTTAGCATTTTTGTCTCCTTATCTTCATTTTATGTAGCTTAGCTTGATGCAGAGGGGGGAGCTCTGGATTTGGAGGATATGGTGAGTAGGTTTTGGTTGGAATAAAGAAGAGGCTTACATCTTATATCTCATATCTCAAGTTTTTGGGGAGGCAAAGGGCTAGAGAGAAAAAGGAGTGTTCTTGAGTTTAGGGTGTGAAAATGGAGAGTGATTCTTCCTCTTCTTCTTCATACTTTGTAATTATGGGTAACTAACTCCCTATTTAGGGAGGTGATGAAGCTCCATCTTGTAAGCATTGCTCTATTTTGATTTATATTTGGGGATTAATGTCTATGTGTGATTTTTCCATGAACTAGAACAATTTATGTTGTGTAAAGAACTCCAATGCTTTTAAATGATCATTTTGGGTTAATTATCTTGTTTTAGATTATTTTTCTCTCATGATTATATTGCTACATTTTCATAGTGACAATGGGGATGAGTTCATGGAAGTATTTTTATTAGCATGACATTTAGGGCTTTCCTTTGATATATTCTTCTTGATTTCTATTTCATGTGTTCCTATTATGAGATTAAGGGCTTGATGATCTATGGCTTGGTGATCATGTCTAAGGTTGCATCCTAGCTTAGGTGACCAAAACATGTAGTGCTTTGATAGGTTATTCTTGCCTATTGATTTTAGAATTTTCTTGAAGGAAATATAGCTACTTTATGTTGTTATATTCTATGGTCATTTATATATGTTACTTCCCTAAAGTAAATCATGCCATAGCATGCTTATTGATAGGTAGTGGATTCACCTCCCTAACTCCCATTTCTTATTGTCTTTATCTCATACTCCCTTGCATTCTCAATTTATGCATATTTTAATTCCTACTTTTAGTGAGAATCCAACAAATCCTCTATAAACACCTTTATCATTCTAAAAGATGATTCTAGTTACTTAGGTTGCCATAAACTAGCAATCCCAGTGGTTCGACTTACCCGACCAATAGTCCTATTTTACAATGATTTGTGCTATTGCAAAGGTTGATGTATAATTGACAACCGATCAATTTTTGGCGCCGCTGCCGGGGACTTGCACACGGTTTAGCAACCAAAGTTCTAGGGTTAATTTTGGTTTGATTGTCAATATTGTGATTTGTGAATATTTCTTGTGCGGTTTTGACCATCTTGCTGTTGAAAGTTGTTTGTGAGATTCTAGGGACTTGATGCTTGCCGAGGGAACGCTAGCAAATTTGTAAGTCTAGAGGACTCCAGGTAAGTTTCTTGGCCTTTTAGTTTCG